GAAACCATTTAATGTAACAAAACATGGAATTGTGGCAGACGCATTAATTTTGTGTTCATACAATAAATGTTTATGGGGTCCTTAATAGTTGTTAAGGCTAAAATTTTGTTCCGGTAATATTGAAGTTGAATAGGAAAATGTTGTCTGAAAGGGACTTATTAAGTGTTATATTTAATATCATAAGAAATGAGTACCATAGTTTAATTTATGAATCAATATAGAGCGATTGATTTTTGCCTTTTTCTCTATAATTGAGTGACATGAGGTTAATATTAAATAAAAACAGTGTGTCAACTTATTTGCTCTGTATATAAATTTTTGTTACAAAGTTTTCAACGAATTTCAAAAAATCATTTATATTGAAAATTATTGGGTTCGTAACAGATAAATTAGGAAACTTTTTATAAATGTTTGCACTATATCTGAAGATTTTAAAGAGGTTTTTGATGTCGGAGGTCTTACGGGATTTCATTTTGAATAATAAATTACATGTTCACAAACAGTTATTAAAACCGTTTTTCTTGTACAAAGATTAGGAGCAGTACTGACAGAAAAATTCAGTCGTAAAAATAAAGGATGAAGCTTCTAAGGATTAAGAGTAGAAACGAGAGTTATCAACTTTTTTTTCAAGTGTTAGGGTGGCTAAATAAACTAGTATAAATTCAGATGCGAATTTTAAACCTATCACTTAGGTACTAATACCTGTGTAGACAAAAATGTTTAAACATCTGAAAATTTTATTTATTTAACTGACTTGCGGGGGATAGTAACGGAGGTTATTGAACGACTGGGAGAAAAAAAAGAAGTTTAGGTTACTTTATAACATACTTTTAAGATAATTCTATTTTACTTTAATTGGAGAGGATTCACACCAATTGACCATTTAAGTGTTTCTGAAAAATATTAAATGGTGATTAATTGTGAATCATTCATTTGTGGACTCAGAGATTGTGGAATTGAGATTTATGTACTTTAAGGACTTATAATAATTGACATATCAGATTGAGTAGCATTATATAGTATTTTTAGAATGAATTGATAGAAATATATCTGTGAATATTATTTATCTGAATATTGCATGATTTTTTCAGTTTTTGCTATATAATTGTTGGAAGGATTTTGTTTTCTGCTTCACTTGCTTGATCTGCAATTGGAATATATTGAAAAACAACAACAAAAAGATACAGCTAACTTACATTTTCATGTCACATATGCGCTGACACACTTGATGTAAAAGGATAGGAAAGGATGTTTAAATATTTAATTAAACATTTATTAAAATTTCAAGACATTCCGTATGATTTGAACATTTAGAGCTGTTTGCTTATAGAATGTTAACACCTTCATGGTTTAACAGTTTAATTGTGAACATATTTTACAGTTCATATGATGATTTAATCTAGTGCATTAAATTATTCAAAAGGATTTAAAAATTGGATTTTTCTCATAAAAATGGAGATAATTATGAATACAATTTTTGTGTTTCTGTAAATTTCATTGCAATTGATTTCATTTTGAATTTATTGAAAATTACTTCTATTGTTCCTTTCAGACAAGGGTACCAGAATTTTAATCAATAGAAATAATTTTATTGAAATTTCTTGATTTTTAAAAAAAAAAAAATTGAGAGAACTGATTAAATAATTGCTAACTTTTTAACTGTGACAGAATTTTACTATTTTACGACATCAGTGCATTTAGGATATATATCAAAAAGTTGTCATTTCTTCTTACAATTGAGATTTGAAAATAGAAGCACTGAAAAAAATATCTTTGTGTGATTCCTGTAACATTATTAATACTGTGTCAAAAGATGTTTATTTTATGACTTAATTTTCCGACGCTGTAAGAATTGAAGATGTCCTGAAACAGAAATGTTTATTTTATCTCTTATTGAATAAACTAGTTGTGTGAGTCTGGGGAAATTCTTTTTCCTATCAAATCAGATTACTTATATTGACAATGGATACTTACTACGGACAAGCTGCTTTCAGGGCAACACTCAGACCTGCTAGAATATTGAATATTGACAAACGGAAGGTATGCTTATAGTAATTGTTGTTGTATTATATGTCCAAGAATTTCAAATATATATTTACCCTCAGTCAGCTGGCAGCTACTGAATCAACTTGTGCAGCCAGTGCAAATTTAAACCAAGATCCCCTACTAGCCAGCACTGTGCCATTTGATCATAGTCTAGTGCACTGATTGCTTTTCTGTCTATACATATTTTGAAATTATCCCCGAAAAATGATGAATGATTTTGTCCAGATTGGAAAGTATAACAAGTCCATTCAAGATATTGAGCATGATAATGTTTATGACTATCTTGCTGTAGAAAAAGCCCTCAGCTACAGTACATATATACATTCTTTTGTTTGCTAACTTCAATAATGATTTGTCAGAATACTAGCCAGACCAGGGTGTAGCACCTGACTTCTAACTACATATCAAAATCTCACACATTAAATATGAACTATTTTAAATTCCAAGCAAGACAAGCCAAATAATTGACAGGGTCTTAGGGTTAAAGGAATCTGTTGAATCCTTTCTTATTTTAAATATTTGCTTGTCAAAACTACTGTTTTAACTTAAGAGGTCACATTTTGCTGTAATGAAGAAAACATAACATTCATTAAAGTTGATCTTTCCTTTACAAGCTTTTTATAGTAAGCTGTTTGTAAATATTTTAGGTAGAGTTATTGCCCTTTTTATGTCATTTTTAGATCAAAATCTGTCAACAACTCAAGTAAGACCAAATAATTTGACAAGAGTTATTGCTCTTGCAATGACCTGTGCTGTACCCTAATGATTATCTATAAAGGAAACATTTACAATACTCAAAAAGTTTATCTTCTTTAAATATTTATACGCAGCTCTTTCAGTATAGATATATTAAATTCAGCTTAAAGTGTGAAGTGTTGGGAAAACAAATAACACATAATTACATTCCCTAGTTTGTTTGAGTATGTTTGTACACTGAAAAATAATCCAATATTTCTATGTTTAATTAAAGATCAAACTGAAAAATTTGAAATTTGTACCTTAAGGGCAGAGTTTTACTTTGACAAGTAAAATTTTTACAATGAAATATGTGGGGCTAAGGTTGAATTGAACTTTTATCTTATTTTTGAATAACAATAAATTCTGGTAAACACTGATAAAAGAAGATGTTATAATTGCTCATTGGTTGTTTTAGAAAGATCTGAAAGTGTTTGTAACTATTTTTATGTCAATGAATGTCGAAAAGAAGAAAATTGACCTTGAAGAGGTGGAACCCAAAATGAGGAATAAAAGTTTTTGTGAATGAAATTGCTATCCCTGTACCCCAACTCCCCCCACCTCCCTGTTCCCCCCCCCCCCCCCCCCCCAAAAAAAAAAAAAAAAAATGTCAGAAAATAAAAAATGTAGGTTGGTCTAGCTCTCTATATAATAGTGGCAAAGGCTTTTTAATTTTGGTTCCATCAAGTTAAGGGACTATATTTCGTAAATTAGTTATTTAAAAAACAAAATTTCTGTCACATTGATTAAAATTGCTCCATTTCAGTAATTGAAACTTTTTTTATTATATATAAATATTCATTAAGGAACTTTTTTATCATTGAATAAAAGTCAATGAATAATTAAGGTATGACACTGACATGTACATTATTTGAATAACATTAAATTATTAATACATAGTCATTTTACATGGCTAGTATTATTTTATTAGGAAATTTACAGACTCAATATCATATGAAGAGTATTGGTAATATTTAGATTTTTATCATGAAATATTGATACTAGTTTGGTATTGTAATACTGGATTTGTAATACTAGTATGATTTATAGTAATGTTTGCTTGAAATAATGGTAATGAAAGTATAATTTGTGGTAATGTTTCATTGAATTGTGGTAATATTATCTTTGCTCTTGTTCATTCGTTTATGCCACTGTCACAATGTCCTGTTGTTTTGCAGTCTGTCTGTAGACTGATATGACTGACTGAAGTGCAATGTACCTTAAGGGAGGGCATTGTATGGACACATTTCTAGTTATGCAACAACAACTTTTCATTGAAGTGTGGTAAAAATATCTTCACTCTATAACAACATTCATTGAATAGTGATTAAATTATTGTGGCTTTACATTACTGTAATGTTTTCTTGAACTGTGGTGATAATAAATTGTGTTTGCAACTGTGGTAGTAAAAGCTTTACATTAAAGCAATATTACTTTGAAGTGTGGTACATGTAATAAAAGTTTTACATTGCAACAAGGTTTCTATAAAAGTTTTACATTGCAGCAAAGTTTCTTTAAGGTGTGGTAATAAAAGTTTTTACATTGCAGCAATGTTTCTTTGAGGTGTGGTAATACAACCTTTACATCAAAGCAATATTTTTTGAGGTGTGGCCATAAAAGCTTTAAAACAAACACATGTAAAACTATTATTAACACACCTCAAAGAAATATTGCTTTAATGTAAACTTGTTCAAGAAATATTGCTTTGATGTAAACATTACAGTAATGTTTCTTTGCAGTGTAGTAACAAAAGTTGTATATAACAGCATTGTTTCTTTTAAGTATGGTAAAATTTTGTTTTTACATGATTGCAATTTTCCTTGTATGTGTTGTAATACATTGCAGCAGTCTTCCCTTGAAGTGTGGTAATAATTGCTTTATCTTCCTTAAAGGAACTCCACTGAGATTTTATGATGTGACCAGATTGGAAATATTTTTCAAGATTAATATTTCCGTTTGATGTAGGTCTAGACCAATAACTTGTGTGCAAAATTTCAGATCACTCGCTCACTCCATTTTCCAGAATAACTATTCTAAATGACCTGAATTATTTTTGTGTATAATTCTTAATTACCTTTTTGCCTATCGTTCTGTTTTAGGTGCCTAAGCTGATCTATGTAAAAAAATTCAAACTTTTGGACCTCAGTGGAGTTCCTTTAAGGATTTTTTTTCGAAAACTTATGTATTAAATAAATCATTTTTTACTGTGTATTTTTTAGACAATCAGTAGAAACAGTAACAGGTCACGTAAGTCACGAGCAGAAAGTGCATCACATGGTTTAAATAGAGGTCAAAGTTCAGACAGTGACAGTGACCATGAAGAGGGAAAGGGCACAACCTTTGAACCCGATTTCAACACAGTTGACATCAGCGATGAAAAAGCCTTTGACACAGACTTGGAAGTTGAAGGTATTTATGTTATTTACTCAAGTTAAAATACACATGTAAAGGAATAAAGGGAAGTAATTCAGGATAATTTGTAAATAAGGGGAAGTAATTAAATTCATGTACTGGTATCCAAGGGCAGGTATTATAAATCATATGTATTATGTTAAGTCAAATGATAATAAAACTTAATTAATCAAGGGTAATAAGTGTTTAAGAAGGAGAATAACTAATGACCATATAATTAGGTAGTCAAGTACCTTAATATGATGTACTTCCACTTCACTTCAGACTTGCATGTTTTGCATGTAAGATATATTGAACTCCTTTCACATGGCACTATTATAATACATGATTCTATTATATTTATATAACAGTACACTCTGGAGATTTTAATATAAAGCACTTCATGTATATATAATTTCTAATATGTTTTTATTGAATGATTGAATGATTTTGCATATGTTAATATGTTTTGCATAAGTTAGAAATAAAGTTTTCTATCCTTTGAAGTACATTCAATCTCAAGGGTAATGTTAAAAACATTTTGAATTACAAATGTATTGTTAAAAAACTGATTTTTTTTTCACCATTGGACTATTTATAGTCTGCAAAATGATGTAATCATTTATTTTCCCTTCAAATGCTTGTTTATATTTTTATTCCATATGTTAGATATATTAAGACATAATGATGGTCAAGACAAGATTTGTCTTGCTAAAATTAGTAAATTCATTGCTTATTCTACCTGGAACTCACCAAATCTGGGTTTTTCCCATCTTATCCCTGGGTACAAACAAACACCATAAAAGCTTCATGGTGCAGTAACTCTTCAATCAATGCATTGCACATAATATTTACCTAGTTGTATCTGTAAAAGTTTGCTTGTACTCCATGATATAATGGGAAAAACGCACATTTGTTGATGTTCGAGAGTATCCCTATTAATTTTCATTCAAAGAAGACTAGTTTACTGAATCGTTGTAATCTAGATTTAGACACCTATTTGACCACTTTTGATCATTTTGATATGAAAGTACTTTAGCATTTTGTTGATTATTTGTCACTATGCATGTAGCCATCCCTAAGATACCGCATGTTGTGGACGGAGTTTTGGATTTCCAAAGCGTGAGACTCGCTTATAGTGAACAGGCGGCACTGCTGAAAGCCGGTCAAACAGAGCTCAGTATGAATACATGTAGTAGAATGTGTACCATACCATTTTGTAGACTGTGATCTTTTTTTTTGCTGACTTTTTGAGTTTTAGAATGTGTACCGTTCCATTTTGTAGATTGTGATTCTTTTTGCAGACTGTTTTGAGTTTTAGAATGTGTACCATTCTGTACTGTAGACTGTGATCCTTTATGCAGACTGAATATGTGATAGAATATTGTGCTTCATTCTATTTTGTTTTGTAGTGAATTTTTGTTTTACATTGTAATCGGCATTATTCCATTTTGTAGACTGTTAAATAAGTTTAAGAATGTGCACCATTCTGTTTTGCCTTAAACTAACAAGTGCAGCCACTGTTTTAAGGTTATGATTGGACAAGAGACTTATGGACTGAAATCATTCATTAAACAACAAGTCTTATGCCCATTATTGCTTGTATTTTACAAATTGTTGTGGAGAAGTTGTTGTTACCTTGTGAAATAAACAGTTTTGTTCATTATCTTAAAGGACCAATAAGCCTTTGTCAGAATTGAGGGGTCTTTTTTTTTAAAACATAATAATTATACTGATGACAAAAAGCTTAAAATAAAGGAGATTTATACAACAGAAAATAAGAAAACAATTGTTATTTTTGTAAATTTGTGTTTTTGCTAGAGTTAGTGGGGCATTTTGTGGATGGATCCTACGGTAAGATATTGCACAGTTTGGTTGGAATATTGGTAATTTAGGTTGGAGTTGGGTTAAATATAGAGATTAGGGTTAATGTATTGGACTGGTTAATTTTTAGCTCACCTGTCAAAGTGACAGGGTGAGCTTTTGTGATCGCTTTTCGTCCGGCGTCCGTCCGTCCGTCCGTCGTCCGTCTGTCGTCCGTAAACTTTTTCTTTAAATGACATCTCCTCATAAACCACTAAGCCAATTTCATCCAAACTTCACAGGAATGTTCCTTTGGTGGTCACCTTTAAAAATTGTTCAAAGAATTTAATTCCATGCAGAACTCTGGTTGCCATGGCAACCGAAAGAAAAAACTTTAAATATCTTCTTTTAAAAAACCATAAGAGCTAGAGCTTAGATATTTGGCATGAAACATCTTCTAGTGAGTGTCTACCAAGTTTGTTCAAATAAAAGCCCTGGGGTCAAAATTGGCCCCGCCCGGGGGGTCATTGATTTTCCCTATATGCATATATGTAAAAAGTTAAAAAATCTTCTTTTAAAGAACCCAAAGAGCTAGAGCTAAGATATTTAGCATGAAACATGTTCTAATGGGTGTCTATCAAGTTTGTTCAAATAAAAGCCCTGGGGTCAAAATTGGCCCCGCCCCAGGGGTCATTGATTTTCCCTATATGCATATAGTAAAAACTTAAAAAAATCTTCTTTTAAAGAACTCAAAGAGCTATGGCTAAGATATTGAGCATCAAACATGTTCTAATAGGTGTCTACCAAGTTTGTTCAAATAAAAGCCCTGGGGTCAAAATTGGCACCGCCCCAGGGGGTCATTGATTTTCCCTATATGCATATAGTAAAAACTTAAAAAATCTTCTTTTAAAGAACCAAAAGAGTTAGAGCTAAGATATTTAGCATGAAACATGTTCTAATAAGTGTCTACCAAGTTTGTTCAAATAAAAGCCCTGGGGTCAAAATTGGCCCCGCCCCGGGGGTCATTGATTTTCCCTATATGCATATAGTAAAAACTTAAAAAATCTTCTTTTAAAGAACTCAAAGAGCTATGGCTAAGATATTTAGCATCAAACATGTTCTAATAGGTTGTCTACCAAGTTTGTTCAAATAAAAGCCCTGGGTCAAAATTGGCACCGCCCAGGGGGTCATTGATTTTCCTTATATGTGTATTATAGCAAAAACTTAAAAAATCTTCTTTGAAAAAACCCAAATAGCTAGAGTTAAGATATTAAGCATGAAACATCTTTTAGTGAGTGTCTACAAAGTTTGTATAAATAAAAGACCTGGGGTCAAAATTGGCCCCGCCCCGGGGGTCATTGATTTTCTTTATATGTGTATAGCAAAAACTTAAAATCTTCTTTGAAAAAACTCAAATAGCTAGAGTTTAGATATTAAGCGTGAAACATCTTCTAGGTGTCTATAAAGTTTGTTCAAATAAAAGCCCTGGGGTCAAAACTGGCCCGGCCCCAGGGGTGTCATTGTTTTTAACTATATGTGTATAGTAAAAACTTTAAAAAAATCTTCTTTTAAAAAGCCCAATGAGCTAGAGCTTAGATGTTTAGCATGAAACATCTTCTTATGGGTGTCTACCAAGTTTGTGCAAATAAAAGCCCTTGGGTTAAATTGGCCCTGCAACATTGTGGGGGGGGGGGGGGGTTGGGGGGGCCTATATACAGGTGAGCGACCTCAGGGCCATCATGGCCCTCTTGTTTGTATAACTTTATTATATTGGTAGATTCTTTTTTGCAGGAGTTATTGCCCCCATGATAATGTTCCTCATTCTGATGATTCTATAAAGTATACAAACTAATAATGATGGGCTTTTCTATAAAGATATAAGTTTATAATTTAAGATTGATTTTATGTCTCTTATATCAATGATAAATAGATAATTTTAATGTATACATATGTGAATGTACATCTTACTTATAAAATTATGTTGTATTTAGTCTTAGCTTGTTTTGGTTTTTATATAGGAATTGCCCAGCTTTGAATTTGGTTTTGTCTAGTGTGACCGTACAGAACGACAGTATCCAAATAGAATAAAATTTCACATTTTCAACATCATATTGTATGATGAAACAAGCTCTTTGTACCGAGTGGCTTGCTAGCATATAAGATACAATGGCCTGTATTCTTTTAAGGCCACCTGTATATAATTAAGTACATGTATTCAAAAGTTAACTGTCTTATTTTTAAATAAAATGAAAGCAGACTTTTTCGCACAATATTAGTTTTTTTTGTTTTTTTTTTAGTTTATACAAATTTGTTTTAGTTTCATTGTGTTGGAAGCTATAAGCTTATGGAACACTCTCGAATCTGTTCCTCAGGAACCTACTAATACTAAGCAATGAATTTAAAGTTTCTTGCTCTTTTAGGAAACAACAGCTTGCCCCTGACAGGGTTTGAACCCACGTGGTCAGCAATTCTTAGATTATTAGTCCCACATGTTAACCACTCGGCCACGCCACCACTCAATACACAATATTAAATATAAAGATGTATTATGATAATATTACCATGATATATTATGAAAGATTTAGATCATTAAAGCCAGAGTACAAGTTACATTTATGTACGAAAAATGGATTTTGATAAATATGCCCTTGTTATATAAGTCTTAACATTGTTTGGAAACCAAGCTTAACTTGCATATTAAGAGTTTTGAAGATTTAATAATCTAAAAGATAGATTGACTTTTTTTCATGCTTCGGTTTTAGAATTTTAAGTGCATATCAAATATTGATTAAAATCAATTGACGAATTTTTAACAAGAATTTATTTTCACACTGAAATTCTAATGTAAAAGCAAATATGAATGTTTGTTCATATAAATTTGCTACTAAACTTAAATATGTTTAAGTACCCAGTCCATGTACAACTACTACAATCATCCCAGATTATTATATAAAGTGGGCTTAATTTATATCCATTGTATTTTGAATTAAAAATGATTCTTTTTATTTGATTAACCTATTTTAATTTTTGACAAATGAACAGAAATCAAGGGACATTATTTATAGAAAAAAAATCAGATATTAAGGATTGAAAAAAAAAAAAAAGCTTACCATACTCAAGAATAGCTTTTTGTCATTTTATCAAGGAACATTCTTGGGGACAATTTCCACAATTTCTTGCATAAAATTGTATTGAAATTGGTAAAATCAGGAATAAATCTTGCATTTCAAAGTCATGATCTGTTTCAAGACCTGCCTGATCATTGCATTCTAGAAATACAAATTATATTATTATCATCTGCAAGCATGTCAATTGTAAAGCTTAATGCTTGTCCTGCTTATGTAGGATGTATTTTTTGTCAGTCCTTCTATATCTATACCTATATCAATAAGGTCAAGGTCAGAAACAAGTAGACTTTGCCTATGCTACTAGTATAAAGTATTTTTTGGGAGGTGCAGAGTCCCATATTTCTGAAAGAAAGATATTGCCCATACATATCATCTTATCTCTTTATATAATTTAAAGGGAGTTAATCCATTACTGTACTAAGGTGATGATATGTTAGCACATTGAAGTACAATATGTTAGACTTAAAGAACCAGGCCACCCTGCACTGGTCATAATATACATTGACTAGACACTACAATTATGGTGTTACGTAATAAACTCATAGGTTTAATTATTAAAATCAGTTAAAAATCTAAAATAATAATGAATAGTTCCAAATTTGAAGCTGGGCAACTCTGTTGATCAAATTTAGTGGTGTAAGTGAGAAGAAAAAAATATGTTACTTGTTTAATGGTACTCTGTAGGTAAAAGTTGAAAAATGATTGTATGAGTATCACACTGTCTGCACAGATTACAATTTTTTCTCACCATTTTACCATAATCAGTGTTAAAATGGCAGATATTTAGTGAATACATTGTATATATGTAAACAATACATGCAGTAGGTGTCCTACTGGTGTCCTACAATGCGGTGACTGAAGTGTGCTCTAGTAAATTCAATATGGCTTACTGCAATGATCTGCAGTGAAAACTACCAAGGCCACCACCACCAGTAGGGGTCCTGCTGACCATTTTGTCCCTGAAAAAGAAAAACAGTGTATTAAACCTGATATTATTTACAAAAGAAGTGTACTTCTATTGTAAAGAAAGTTTTATACAAATATAACCATTACTTCTTGTTCATTTTATTATAATAATCAATGAAATGGCATGCTTCCAGACTTAAATGTTTACATTTAAAAAACAAACAACAGAAATGCATGGAAGACTTCCATACATTTTCAAATTGACCTGATTTGAATTTTCAGTCCAGAATTTTATTTGATTCATTTTGTTAAAGTGTTGAGAATCATTTTCATATTTCTAGAAGCTGCCATGAATTTAATTTTACCCTGAATTTTATGTATTCTTCTTTTCCTTTAGATGCCCATCAGAAAATAGCACATTTGCTAACTTCAGGTAGTCAAGCACTGCATAAAATAGTTCCTGTGTCTTACGTTTGTGAACCAGTATACAAAAATTCTTTGGCATTTGATTGGCTCTTATCCTGAGCACAAATTTATTTTTAACCAATAGCTGAATTGTCTTTTAGAATGGTTACCATGTATGCATCCAAACTTGAAAACCAGTCTGCACTGCACTGTTTCATTTGATTGGCTCCCTTTTTTGAACAAAGATTTAACGAAAATGTTTTTGTAGACTGGCTCTGAAACAAGATATTATATATTCATCTTCACATTATAGTGTTTTGTTTAGGGTTATTTTAATTATTTAGGTGTAGTTATGTGCACTGGGTCAATTTTGTGAGGTTTTCAATAAATTTTAGGTCAGCCCACATTAGTAATGCTTTTATTCTTGGTGCTTAGACTTGTATTAGTAAATAAGCTTGTAAAATTTATACATATTTGTATATAAGTTTGATTTAAATTTTCATTATGACATACACATAGGAGAGCTCATTTTATTATATAGAAGGTATGTCTGTTGTTTACCATAAAGTTTGATTTGATTCAGGACATAGGGAACTGAATATTGAAAAAAAATCATCATTCCATTGAATTTTGTTCTCAAAGTTTGTACTGTCATCCTGTATAGAGGGTTTCTGTTACAAAAACTCGCTCAGTTCTTGAAAAGTCATAAATAATTTACTCATAGTATTGAGATTAATTAACCTTTAGTCTGCTTGTGGAGACTGAACCTACCCGTGTGACCTGTGCAGGCCAAGGTCAGCCGTCGTATCTGTGCCTGCACTGTTCTCTAGTCATTTGGTCTATTTTGTAAAAAAAAATCCCTAAAAATGATAAATGGTTTTGTCCACATTGAAAAATGAACAAGCTCATTTAAGATATTTAGCGGGATAAGGGTTACACATTTTATGATGCTCAACCACACAATACAATCACGACAATGTAAGTTGTTGCTAAGCTAGGTGTTTTACTAAGATCTCTGACTCTCAAAAACACAGTGATAACCAGATTGAAGACCATGCTATAAAGAAAGCAGAGATAGAGCATGGATTAAAATCATTAAAATAAAGCATGTCTTCCAATTATCTGCTTACAGCTTAGGAAAACGTTTTTTTATGGTCTTGACATTCTGCATTAAATTGCACCGTATTGATTGAAATCTTTTGATGTTTGCACTGATAAAATGTTATTGCATTGCGTTTCTCATGTCATTTTAATCTTGGTTCAGGACAGCACATAGCAATTGCATGCTCTTGCTTTATAAATATTCAGTGATGAGGGTGACTTACGCATAAAAGTGTGGAAAAATCAGAAATTTTATATCCATTAAAGCAAAATTTTAAGTCGGCAAAATGTAGAGTAGAACTGCAGGCTTTATTGAACTGTATGATTAATACTTTTATAGTGATCTTGGAAAATTAGCATCATATTTTGTCAATTTCATACTTTTTTGGTAATGAAGACTTTTTATGAAGATCTACGTATATGAATATCACTGTATTTAGGATAATAGAATTCATAAATCATGCAGATTTAAGTTCAAAGAATATTTTTAATATTGCCGAAAGATAGTAATATATTAATTATGTTATTATATATGTTATGATATTAATGGTTACTCTTATAATGTATGTTTCTAGATCAGTCCGCATCTTACGATCACACGGGGAAGACATCGTACATCGACACATGTAAGAAACTTGGCGTTGTTCCAGCATCATACTACCTGCGTCACATGCAGGACCGACATTTAAACATGAGGCATCATGGTCTAGGTGCCGCGGGGATGAGGGCTCTGGCAGAATCATTATCAGTATGTTTGTCAAAATTTTTACTACCCTAATTTATATGTAGTAGATTTGCCATGGTCTGAATTTGGGATTTGGCGTGTTAATTTTTACTTAAAATAGTGCCTATTATTGAAACTATAGTCCAAAGGATTAAACACTCTAGCAAGTATTAATTTACTGTTGAAGAACGGTCATTTTGTTGCTCAAGAAAATACACAGTATCCATGATAGGGCTCGAACCTGGAACTTCAAATTTCCAAAGCACATGTGCTTCTTAGGCCCACTGCTGCTCTTAATTCCTGTAAAATTAAATGGATTTAATTAATGTATAATATTATACATCACTATGAACATGATATAGTGTTGACTATTAAGGAAGACAATGATGAACAATCTTATTTTGTTTTTCACTTTCAGTCGAATACAAATGTGTTAGAGTTAGATCTCAGTGATAATTGGTTGGGACCTCAAGGTGGGTTGGCTGTCTGTGAAATGCTCAAGGATAACTGTTTCATCACAGAATTGGTAAGGTTTTTAAATTAATAAATGGCAATATGTAAAATCTTTTTTATTTATTATTAAATTTATTGTACATTGATTTATTCAGGTGTTAGGAGAATAGCTTCTATGATATAACATATAGATGAGAGGAAAGTGGCTGTTAACTTTGAAAAACAATATTTAAGCTTTTCTGAGAAATTTTTATATATAAGTTTACCCAGGGTCTTTCAAATAGAATGGTCCAGAAACGCGCTATGTAAACCCTTCCCGCTACAATTAAACATGTCTCAGCAGAACTTGGTATAGTTTGCTGTATGCAAATCAGGTAAGTGTTCAAGGAAAGGGTGAAAATTAAATACAAGAGTAAAAATGAAAATTCTAAAGGCATGATGTTCTTTAAAAATCTATTAACTTGTGAAAAACAGAAAAATATTTCAGAAAATAATGTTTTTAAAACCATATCTGTTGTAAAACATAGATTGCTTGTTTAGAAAATTTGATGATGAACAGCGCCATTTTGAAAATGCATCAAATTAAACATCAAAAATTTGTAAATAACATCGTGAAATATTGTAAACTTTTTACATGATACGATTAAATAACATTTTTTGTCTGTAAAATCAATTTCTATTTTCTCATTGAACAATGCATAAATTAAAGCTTATAAAACTCAGACATAATTTCAAATTTGAGCAGTAATTTTTTACCTTGACACAGGGAACGAAAAAATTCCTAATTTCATTGCAAATCTATAAAATTGTTACTTTTAAAGTAAAAACTAATAATGTAATGTAGCCAGAATAAGTTTTCAGTAATTCTTTGATCGATTTAACAAAACATTTTATCTTATAATTTGATTTTTGAATGGTCATGTACTATGCCAGATCACGGTCAGTAAATAACCTAATCACATGATTCAACCGAGACATCTTTTTTCTTAAAATTGGTTCGACTCCAGACCATTCTGTTTGCAAGACCCTTGTTTACCTAAGCTTTTGTCATGAATTTTTTGTTATCTTTCTATGTAACATTAGAAGGAAAATGCTTTAAGCTGCATGCCTCCAGATGAGCCAAAATATTTCAAGAAAATCAAACTGGAGAAGATTCAAGATTAAAGTGATAATTATCATCTTATGTGCGATTAATGATTGACTTTGCAATATTGATCACCATAATTCTACTGCATGCGCTAAGGGCTATTTTTGCATATTTAATCTCATTTTTGGAATTACGTGGATTTTTAGTGCGATTTGTGATGTGTAAATTATTTTCTTTGTCTGCCTTAAAAAAATTTTTCTTTCAAATACATTTTCAAAATTTTCATGAAGATTAGCAAGGATCTGGAGGCATGCTGCTTTTAATATTTCTGTATGTTTATTTCAGAATCTGTCAGAAAACAGACTAGGAACAGAATGTGCTCCACATCTATCTCAGATTATGCAACAGAATGTCACTTTAACACATGTAACTCTCTCAGGTATGTGAAAAGGCAATAACCTTTTTAACATCAAGGGCCTTAACTCTTTAACATGTAACTCTCTCAGGTATGTGGAAAAGTCATAACCTTTTTAACATCAGGGGCCTTAACTCTTTAACATGTAACTCTCTCAGGTATGTGAAAAGGCAATAACCTTTTTGGCATCAAGGGCCATAACTCTTGAACATGTAACTCTCTTATGTATGTGAAAGGCAATAACCTTTTTGGCATCAGGGGCCTTAACTCTGTAACACATGTAACTCTCTCAGGTATGTGAAAAAGCCATAACCTTTTTGACATCAAGGGCCTTAACTCTTTAACATGTAACTCTCTTATGTATTGTCAAAAGCGCAATAACTTTTTGGCATCAGGGCCTTAACTCCTAACACATGTAACTCTCTCAGGTATGTGAAAAAAAGTCATAACCTTTTTAAACATCAGGGGCCTTAACTTCTTTAACATGTAACTCTCTTGTATGTGAAAAAGGCAATAACCTTTTTGGCATGCAGGGGCCTTAACTCTCTAACACATGTAACTCTCTCAGGTATGTGAAAAAGTCATAACCTTTTTAACATCAGGGTCCTTAACTCTTTAACATGTAACTCTCTCAGGTATGTGAAAAGGCAATAACCTTTTTGGCATCAAGGGCCATAACTCTCTAACACATGTAACTTTCTCAGGTATGTGAAAAGGCAATAACCTTTTTGGCATCAGGGGCCTTAACTCTCTAACACATGTAACTCTCTCAGGTATGTGAAAAAGTCATAACCTTTTTGACATCAAGGGCCTTAACTCTTTAACATGTAACTCTCTTTTATGTATGTGAAAAAGCCATAACCTTTTTGACATCAAGGGCCTTAACTCTTTCTTTAACATTAGAGCCTTTAATTATAGTGTTGTTGCTATTAGGGTCATAACTCATTTATGTATTAAGATTATGATAATTCTATGCACACAGTAAGGCTCAAGCATGATGTATATAGGAATCTTAAGTTTCATTCTCAAGATTTTGCCTGAGTATTGAAGCATGACTTAACCTAAATTGTTGCAGATTCAAGGTCAAGGGCCATAACTCTTTACATGTCGTTAATTCTAATTAAAGATTTATATACCTAAGTCCTGTTATCTCAGGACATGTTGCCATAATTATTTGAATTTGTATAGGTATTAATAATTTATTAAGTTAGACAGTCTGATCCTACTTAATCTTGTCTTCCATCGAATTCTTCATAATGCAGGTATAATTATAATGATTTAACTTTTTTTTAATCATCATGTACAAAGTAGTAAATATATAATTCCAATTTCAGGAAATGAATTTGATGACCATTCTGCACCATATTTTGCTGAAGCCATTCTGGTATGAATATTTATTTTCATTGTTTTATCATAGATATTAGTCTGCAGATGAAAATATCTCTTAAAAAAATAATCTCGAAAAATGTTTCTTATTGATAATACACATTGTGTTCGCTTGCCCTTTGACAAATTTCAGTGTTAATAAAAAATACAAATAAACATTTTCATATTTTATGTTTTGTCTTAAAAAAGTACTGTTGCATAGTTTTTGAAGGTCTACAACTTTTAAATGAAATTCTTGGAAGGGCACTTGCTATTTAAGATGAATATTCATATACTTTTTTGGATTTTTTTTTACAGAATTCAACAAAAGTACTACATTTAAATCTAAGTCATAATAATTTTGGGGATGTATCCGGGACAATATTGGGACCAGCAATAGCAGATAACTCATGTATAAAGGAACTGGACCTGTCCTGGAATTGTATACGCAGAAAAGGGGCTGTTGCCATTACGCAAGGGGTTAAGGTAATTTCACACACAGTTCATTTTTATTCTTTTTGAAAAAATCACAAAAACTAATTAGAATTATGACAAACCCGTCTTCACTGAAGGCAGGGAGGATCTATTTCATCGTTTGAAAAAAAATAGAAAATTACATTTCTTCATTAGTAATTCTAACACAGGATTAATAACTATTTCAATAGCTATTTAATTGATTACACTTCTGGACAATAAATGAATTTTTTTTCTTTACTAAATTTAATTTTTGATTCATTTAAATTACTGTAATTTTCATTGAACCATGTTTTTAACTGCTTTTTTTAGATAACCAAATTTGTCCTTAATTGCATGCTATTATATTTGTTGTTATTACATTCTTTGAATTTTTCAAAGTTTTGGAGGATTATCAAACTTGTACAAATTTTAAATGTCATGTTACTTAACTTGATGATTTATTTTCAGAATAATATATTTTTGAAGAAGATTAATCTATCTTGGAATGGATTTGGTTTAGAAGGTGCACTAGGTCTTCAAGATGCTTTGAAAGGAAACTCAGTTTTAGAAGAATTAGATATATCGTAAGATTTCCCTGAATTCCTAAATTTTTTACCTTTTTAACCATAGTTAACCATTGACCTGCTTTTGTGTAATGGACTTGGCCTGTTTTAAATTTGGAATGTTCCAAAAGTAGTTATAGGGGTGTCAGTATCAAATACACTAGTGGCACATAGGCAAGTTCATTATTTTTGCTGGTATTACAGAGTGAATTTTTTTTCCATATTAGTAAAACATTCTATACTGTGAGATACTCTTCTCCTTTATTGAAATTCATCCTTGAATTTCTTATGGGTACAGAGTTACACATTGCAATGACTCTCAAGGTATATACCATAATGTCTCCATGTTAGGCATCACATGTTACAGTGTGTAAACAGACCAAAGTTTATTTCATACGGTGATTATAATTAAATATTGAAAGCATTGGAAAAAGTATGGAACACCTGATGAGCCATGTTTTAATTATTGATATAAATACCAGAATATATTAAGAATTATTTCACATAATGACACAAGCACTCAGCATCAGGTTGTTATATGCAACCATATTAAAACTGTCATCCCTTGTCAGACTAATAAGACTGCAATATACTATACATGTATATTCTGCTATGACAAATGCCTATTTGATTCACCATCGGTGGATTTCATAAAAAGGGTCTTTCATTAATTACACTATTTAGTTTGATAGAAAAATCCTTATATTTTAAGTTTTCAGTTTTTCACTATTTCTAAGTCTTGCTCCTATAATGTAGGTCTTTTCTCCCTGTCTGTTTTTCAGCTAAAACAGGCATTTTTAACCAGGTTTTCCGAAGGAAAAAACTGGTTATTAGATTGAGGTATGTCGGCGGGAGGGCGGCGGACGGGCGGGCGGGCGTAAACAATTTCTTCTGTGCGCAACTCCTCCTACATTTTTCAACGGAATTTTGACCAAACTTTTCACAGAAGCTTTGTCATCAAGTGACCTGGCGCATATTGTCGGGGTTTTGTGATTGGATAATATTTGACCTAATTATGGCCCTTTGTTTTTTTTCCTTATATAGAATATATAGTGAATAATTTCTTCTGTGCCCAACTGTTCCTACATTTCTCAATGATTTTGACCAAACTTTCACAGAGCTTTGTCATCTATGCCCTGGTGCATAATGTCAGGTTTTGTGATTGAATAATATTGACCTAATTATGCCCTTTGTTTTTTTCCCAATATAGGATTATATAGTGAACAATTTTCTGCGCGCAACTCCTCCTACATTTCTCAACGGAATTTGACCAAACTTTCACAGAGGCTTTGTCATCAAGTGCCTTAGGGCATATTGTCAGGGTTTTGTCATTGTATAATATTTGACCTAATTATGGCCCTTTGTTTTTTTCTTATACAGATTATATAGTGAACAATTTTTACCATGCGCAACTTCTTCTACATTTCTCAACAGATTTTGACCAAACTTTCACAGAGGCTTCGTCATCAAGTGCCCTGGCGCACATTATGGGGGTTTTGTGATTGGATAATATTTGACCTAATTATGGCCCTTGTATTTTTCCTTATACAGAATATATAGTGAAAAAAATTTTCAGTGCTGAACTCCTACATTTCTCAACGGATTTTTTTTCAAACTTTCACAGTAGCTTTGTCATCCAGTGCCCTGGTGCATATTGTCGGGGTTTTGTGATTGAATAATTTTTTATTTAATTATGGCCCTTTGTTTTTTTTTTCCTTATACAGAATATAATTATAGTGAACACTTCCTCTGTGGCAATTCCTCCTACATTATTCATGTGATTACATTGCACATAGTTACATTGTTTGTTGCTTGTATTTGTATTTCAAATACAACATATTTATCTACAATGGTGATAATTGAAAACCTGGTTTCATGGCATTGCCATGTTTCTTGTTTGTTTGCTGGGTCTATGCATTTATTCAGTTTTATTGCAAATATGCAGTTACAGGAATGATAAAACCAAGACTTATAACCTCATGTAGACTCTTAATTGATATGACTGTAGCATGATAAATGTATTTCTTTTGACATTACTATTATAATTAATTTGTCATTTTTAGTATAGATGCATTTTATGTACTAAAATGTTCTATTTTAGAGCTGTAGAACCTTGCTTATGAAAATAAAATGTTTTCATGAAATAATTTCAGAAATAATCGTATAACTGCAGAAGGTGCTGTAATTATAGGAAAAGGAATTTCAGTCAACGAAACACTTAACACATTAAAGGTAATATAATGCATTACTTATGCAACAAGTAAAGCTGAAAAGTCACCATATGTTATTTAAAGTTTTGGTTTGACTTAAAACCAAACAAAACAGAAATAGTTACTGTAATTTTTTCTTTCTATATATAAATTAATGGTGTAAATATTTCAAAGGGAGCTTAATCTTTATGTTATATATCTATGATGTAATTGAATTACCTCCCTTAGCATGCAAAAACGTGGTATTTTATTACTATGCATGATACTCTGAATGTAAATTATTCTTTGGGAATAGGCAATATAGGAAGAATAAAAAGATTGTTTGATCTTGTATAATGTATACAATATCAATTGTTACTGAAAATAGTTATTTGTGGAATGGCTGAAAAAGTAAATCTAAACTCTTGTTATAATTTCATTTGGATTTTGGAGGTTTATGGGCAATTTTGATTTTAAACTTTGAACTTTTTGAGCATTGTTTCCATTGGCAAACACATTTTGTAAAATTTATCTTTTAGTATAGCTTGTTATTCTATCCAGATTTTTTCTGTCCAAGAGATATGAGGAGGGTTTTTAAACCCTCTGCCTGCTGTATTTCTTCAATGGCTTTGCGCAGCTTCCATCTTTGGAACTGTCCATTAACATTCTTGAGGATATCAAGATGAAAATTTAAAGGTAATCAGCCATCAATATGGAGCCTGGTCAGAGTGCACAGATGTACAGGCTGGCCTTGCTCTATACTGGTGGGAAAGGCTGAACACTTTCGGTTCTAAGTTTAATGATTATAATCTAAGTTTTACACCTATAAAATATATCATGTTTTATATTGTAGATGGGAAAGAATCCTATGCAAAGTGCTGGATGTTATGGAATTTGTGCTGCAATTTTACGCAATCCAAACTGTGTGCTCAAGGTCATAGACTTCAGTGTAAGTATATAAGTATATATTATTAGTTATAAAGATTTTTGACAAGTTATATGATCCTTGTTGTTTGTATGGTTATATTGGAAACAACCGTTTATATACAGCCATATAATCTGCCAGGAATCTTTATGACAAAATAATACAGCAAACTCCCTTTTTTTAGGGGAAAAATGTGAGTTCTAAATAAATTGACAGCAGCTGTGTATAGAAAACTATATAAATGTCATGATTGAAGGCAAAGGATGTCATGTTATTGAGTGTGATGTACCTCCAACACTTTGGTCTATATTTCTGCTACTGATGCAGGAAGTTTATAAACAAATAAAATTTTAACACCTTGCCTGATAGAGGTAATGGACTCTACCAACGTGAGTTTTACTCATGAAAAAAGCATAGGGGTCTAATCCAGGAGATTGCCAAAGTCTGATCATGGTCTGTACTGTTTGCTTTTCAGACAGTGAATTTTTTGTAAAATAAAGAATGATTTCCAGTGGTCTTGTGATGGTCAAGTCCACTTAAGATATCTAGCATAGTTAAATAGCTTTTATGCAGTTTCCTTCTATTTTATTAAAAATAAAATGTGCAACCTGGTTTTGATTTAACTGTCCGTGTTTTGTTTTCTTTAATAGGATATACTGGTAAACAAAGATTTTGAAGATGTATTCAAACAGGTTCAGGAACAAATCCCCGATATCAAGCTTGCACATGGTGGCATGGAACCACCCCCAAAGCCTAAAGCTAAAGTTCATCCGATGGTAAAATTGGTAAATTACATAGAGAAACATGAGCTGCGATTGGTCGATTTTTTCAACAAGTTTGATAAGGACGGGAGTATGAGCGTGACACATGAGGAATTTGTGGAAGGAATCGAGGTACGGTGTCCATTGTTTGCCATTAGTTGAAGATTATTTGTTTTATGATTTTAATTTTTTGTTTAATTTTTTTAATTGTGGTTTTTTAATTAATCAGTTCAGTGGTTTAATATAATAAAAGTTTGATATTTTTCTTGTTTTGAAAGCTTCACATTTACTGGCAAGTGAAAAATTGATCTCTCTCAAAAAATTGTAGCATTGTTGTGGTGATGTGTTGTATGAACAAATTGAAAAATAGTTTGTTATAGATGTCTTGCATCTTAAAGACGTTTTCGGGTGTTTTCATATAGACATATAGGCAAAATTAAAACTGTTCAATAGAATTCCTTTATTATTTGTGGGGAACAAATTTTTATGGTTTTTGTGGATAGGTCAATCCACAAATTTAAAATTCAATGAAATTTCATTTCGTCTGCTGTAAGACGTATACATGCATGACATTATTTACATCTTAAATTTTTGAAAAGTAAATAGTCCTAGAATTTAAGAACCCATGAAATTGTTCCAAGAAATTTCATTATTGTATAATTGATCATTTTTTTTTTACATTACTCCATATTCATGTAATTATGTTCAATGATAAATTGTTAAACTGAGATTTTTTCACTTCAGATGTAAATGTGATGCTAAATTTATTATTTTTATTTTATTTTGGTTTTTAAGAATTTATCTAAACACAAATTATATGAATTTAGTGTAAGCATTTAGATTGCCATGATGTTTTCCCTGTAATTCCATTAGAAAACCCTTTTCAGAAAGATTTATTTTTATTTCCTACCAACAGTTTTAGTTGAAAATAATGTAGAACTCCTCTATTTTATGTGTTACTCAGATTTTGTTTTTTTGTTTGATTTTCATTAATTTTTCTTTATAAAGTTGGAGAGTGTTATGAGCATGTTAGTTGTATCGGGCATATAATTCCTGTATTATCTTCCTCCAATCTCAGTCCGCTATACTTGCAGTTTCCTATAGCTCCTTCATTTATAGACCAGTGACTGAAATATTGAAGGTTGAACGCAAAACTGCAGAAACAAACATGAAACACCAGTTTTGCAATCAACCTTTGATATTTGATTTAATAGCAGAATTGATAGATGATTAAGTTTGGTTTGAGGTCAATTTGCAAATGAAAACTTTTACTTAGTCTTCATCTATTTACCCATATCAACTTGGTATGTTTTTTCATACTTGATTTGTGATTGTGTTAAGGTCACTGGAGCTAAAAATAGATTTTGGAAAAGTTTTTCTCATAGGTTTACTATTAAATATGTCTTCTAAGGATAAAAATAGGGTATCTTTTATTTAAGTTTCATATTTTTTTTTTTTTTTTTTTTTTTTTTTTTTTTTTGTAATCGGCAGCTTAGTTTAAACACTTTTTGGACCAGCCAATAGATATGCTACATGTATATTAACTCACGGATTTATATAATATAAATCTGTGATTAACTAGACTTGGTCATGTCTTGTATTTATTTTATCCTCTGTGTTTTATGTTTTACTTTATTTGCTTTTAACTTGTTAAAACAGACTGCAAGACAGGCAATAAAAAAGAATGCACAGGTAAAGTATCCTATTTCCATAGCAACAGAATATCTCTCAAATTGTTGTTGCTATGGGAACGCTAGATATTGGTTACTGGAGCTTATATTCACATATTCTATCAATTAAACTCTATTTTGCTTTATAACAACACTTGGTAATGGATGCATAAATGGTTTCCATAGCAATACTAATTTTTAACTATGAAATTTGTACAAATTTTGAATTGTCTTGCTAACATCAGACTGAAATTTACAGTACTTATATCATTCAATTTAACTACCTTGTTTGCTTAACTTTAAAAAACTAGAAACAAATTTCAGTTAGTGACACATTTACTTGGTTTGTTCATTATTCAATAAATCATAAATATTGTTTTTTCATAGTCAGTCTTCAAGTTAGTTTAAGTTGTTATGGTAATAAACACAATATTATAAGAAGCTAATAGACTTTAATTCAGCCTCATTAACTTAACACTTATAATATACCCTGCTGGAATGGAAAGTATAAAGATTTTGTCATCATTGCTATGAAATATGCATCTGTATTATGTTTTGGTTGAATTTTCTTAATTTCCAGACATTCAATTATTAAGTCTAAATTAAACAACTTTCTAAAATGTGTATAGATAATTGATCAACATAGAAATATCAACCATACATCAGTACGATTTCAAATGATAATAGCTCAACATTAGTTTAAAAATTTATTTGTGAGCTAGTTTTGAATTAACATTTCTCAGAAACATAAGATTTAGATTATAGATATTTTATAAATTTTATTATAATAAATGTTACATTTTCAAAGTACATGTATGAGTAGCCCACTACTAATATTCTGTTTTCTTTCCCCCAAAAAACAAAATAACAGTAAAATAATTAAGTCTTCCTGCCTTGAAAATTACTTAGAATAATCCATTTATTTGAATGAATTACAGAAAAGTTAGAATATATAATACCCAATTACTATTTTGTTCACTTACTATGACTCTTTAAAGCTTCATGCCTCCACAGATGAGCCAAAATATTTCAAGACACTCAAACTTGAGAAAAATGTTCAAAGATTTTAAGAAAAGTAAAAAAAATCATTAAGATTCAAGTAATGATTTAATACATGTTTTATGTGATTAATGACTGATTTTGCAACTTTATTTCTGCATTTTAAATGCAGTAAGGGCTATTTTTGCATATTTTGGCCTCTTAGTTGTAATTTACTTGGATTGTAAGTGCTATGTGTTAATTTCTTTTCTTAGTTCACCACACATTATTTTACTTTAATAACATTTTCAAAACCTTCTTGAAAATTAGCATAATCTGGAGGTATGCTGTTTTAACAAAGAATACTACATGTAATTTAACAGGTGTCTGTGAATTACTAGTACCTGACACAGATATGAATGAAATATTATTACCTGCAAATGTGACTGCAAATGACCTATTACTGCTATTAATTGAAATTATTTACTAAGTGATAGATATAAAAATATATTTTAGATTGTGATGGGTTTGAACCATGCTTTTGTTGTTAATAAAAAGGTTAAATTTAAGCGCTTTGTTGGCTGCTAGGAGAAAATTGTAACAATTTTATTGAGAACATTCAATATTTGCTCATAGATTTTATATAATCTTGGCCATACTTAGAAGCTTTGAAAAACAAGTTTGCACAAAGATATCACTGTACATGTAGTTAGTATTAATATTTTATGTATATAATATAATATATATATAGCATATGAAGATGTAATGAAAAATAAATCGTATTATTGTATATAGTAACACATCACGCAAGCGCACATCTGCACACAAAGCTTATTAGTCCCCTACCGGTTTACTGGAGGGGACTTTAGGTTTACCCTCCGTCCGTCTGTCAGTCCGTCCGTCCACAAAACTGGATCCCGCGATAACTTGAAAAGTACTGAAAATATTTTTATGAAACTTGATATATGGATAGTTGGCAGCATGGAGATTATGCACGTCTTTTTCTTTTCTTCCTATGTTGAAAATTCTGGTTGCTATGGCAACTAATAGGCTGAAAATATGGCAAATTTTACACATAAACTGGATCCAGTGATAACGCAAAAAGTACTGGAAATATTTTTATGAAACTTGAAATATGGGTAGATGGTAGTCTGGAGATTATGCACGTCTTTTTCTTTTCTTCCTATGTTGAAAATTCTGGTTGCTATGGCAACAAATAGACTGAAAATATGGCAATTTTTACACATAAACTGGATCCAATGTTAACGCAAAAAGTAATAGAAGTATTTTTATGGAACTTGTAATATGTGTAGATGGCAGTCTGGAGATTATGCACATCTTTTTCTTTTCTTCCTATGTTGAAAATTCTGGTTGCTATGGCAACACATAGACTGAAAATATGGCAAATTTTACACATAAACTGAATCCAGTGATAACTCAAAAAGTACTGGAAATATTTTTATGAAACTTGACATATGGGTAGATGGCAGTCTTGAGATTATGCATGTCTTATCTGTTCTTCTTATTTTGGTTTATACAGAATTTATTTTAGTTCGATTGTGTAGGAAGCTATAAGCTTATAGACACACTTTCGAATCCGTTCCTTGAACCAACCAGTACTGAGCAATGAGTGTAAAGTTTCTTGCTCAAGGAAACAACGACTTGCCCCTGACGGGGTTTGAACCCATGCGGCTAGCTATCATTATATTACTAGTCCGACACGTTAACCACTCGGCCATGCCGCCACTCTTCTTATTTTGAAAAAATATTGGTTGGCAACAAATATGCTTAAAACATGGCAAATATAACAATATTTGTGATTAGTCAAAAAGAGCTGAAAATTTTTATGAAATTGCATCTTTAATTCCAGTTATCTCCTCTTTAAGAATTTTGCTTTTTAAAATGTTATATTTTGGTAACAGGGATGTTTCAAATATTAAATTTAGAGTGTCCTTCAGTCCGTCTGTCTGTCTTTTCAACAAAACTGTTTCCTGTGATCACTTTTAAAGAACTTTTCCACCAAATTTACTTAAAATAGAGAAAAATAAAAACATTAGTGAATGGCCAATGGCCCTTCAGAATGTTGATGGGGTTCCATCCGGTAGGGGACTTATGGATTGCTTGCAATACTATGATAATTGCTTGTTATAACTAACTTGTGTGATGGACTAGTTGGAAGCGCCCATTGTGAATGTTAGGGATTCCAAATTATCTCAATGCTAAATTTAAGAAGTTAACAGTAAATGTAGAGTCCTGTTTGTCTGTATGGATGTACAGATTGACCTACATCTATACTGAATACGGGTTAAAGAGTAACGCCCCAACAACCACGGCGTCACACTGGTTAGGCAAATCATTATTGGTGTGTGCAGACAAAGCGTCGGGTTAATTCTACAACCCCGTAACTCGATTTTGGGCAAAATTGAGATTTTTATATCATTTTTTTCGTCTCAGTGAGCTCTTCACAGTGAACATACTTATGTAGTTGTAGACCTTACATAAAAATGTTTATTTCCAATTCCACAAACCCGTAACTCGCTATTTACATCAAACTTTAATTCTAGAGTCCAGTAACTTCTCGTCCAATCAAACAATCTGATTTTGTACCACGTGATACATGACACAACTGTAATGGCTGCCTACTGTATCACAACCAAATATTTGAAAAACCTTTAGTGATTTATTTAAAGATAATTACAGCATATTACCTTACAGTAATATACATATATTGATGATTTAGTTTTTATAGCTCTAGCATCATTTTGAATTATATAGTAAATGTCTTGAATAAATAAATATGTAAATACTACATTTATTCGGATGATTACCATTTCGGACAGAATCGATGAGTACTATATTTTGTTTTGTTTCCCGGAAGCTTCTTATTTTCAAGTTTTTACACTTTTTGTAGGGATACTCATTGGCTATATAGCTGAACCCTTTTTTCCATTTGCATTTTGATAATCCATTAAGTTACAGTTATAAGATATTCTTGAATGGAAGACAAAATACCACTTTGTTTACATCTAGATGCTATCAGGACAAATTGTTTCAGATCTGATTCAACGCTGTTTTCTAAAGCACGGAAAGCATCTACTTAATGTACACTCTAAATCAAAAATTGAAATATTATAGCAACATAGGTATGTGACAGAAATGCATCGTCGGATACCCACGGTTGATAAACATGTAACATAACAAGTGCATACTTTTGAAAAATTGATGTAGATATCATTTGATAGTAGCATTGATTTTCAAACAGACGTGTAATATTTTACACAGTAGGAGAAGTTAATGATATTTTTTACTTGAATTGTTGCTATGTTTCTAGCCGAAAATTATTACACTTAGTCAATTTTGCTTCAAATGTTTCACTTAGAACCCCGTATGTCGCTTTAATGGTGTAGAAATGACCTGAATGTTTTGCCAACAACCCAGTATCTCTCGAATGGGGTTTTAGAATTCAGAATATGTATGTGTTTTCTTATTTATTATGAAAAATTGAAATAAATTATTTGAGATTTTAGCTTTAAAATTGTATGCACAGAAATAAAATTTGGTATGTATGTATAACATATAGATTCCTTAATTCACTGAAAATTTTAGCTTTATACGGTTTATCATTAAAAAGTTATTACAGTTCAAACTTTCAAATGCGATTTTCTAAAAATGACAAAAAATGACATACGGGTTTGTAGTATTAAGCCGACGAAAGGTTTCAAGCTTGCTAAGAGTGATCACAATACCTTTTGCTGACGGCAATATACTAAACTAGATGCTTGGTGCTAGGGACAGTCACACTTTATCTTATTTGATATTGAGAAAATAAGATTTTTCCAAAAAATTAACACTTTTTACAGAAGGCAATTTTCCTAGCATGCAAAGGGTTAAAATTTGTATAAGATATTTGATTTTATCACATAAACTGCAGCGTAGGAATGTAATAAAGCCATTTAATAAAAACGATATTACACTAGTGTAAAACACTTTGATATGACGTCATTATTTTGTGTTATGTATAAACATAGCGTTAAAACGCACTAATGTAAGCGTTACTCACCGTGACTATAGACGTGTCATTGATAAATACTCTTTTTTTAACAGTTTACCAATGTGATAAATAGAATATAATTGTGTAAATTCAATACTAAATTTATTGAACTCCTTGAATAAAACAATATTATGCTCACACTCAGAGGCTTGCATAATATATATTTATTCAACTTGTTCAATAAACTACACTCATTCAATATCCTCTATATATTACGCTGGTCTGGCTTAGCTTTTCTTAGTTAAACTTAAGCATTTTGTGTCACAATGGTAACTTTGTTAAATTAAATATTTCATTATTATACACTTCTCCATGCTTATTAAATGATGAACTTCACTTTGTAGTGCATTACAGTTTTCTGAAATAATGTTTTATAATGTATCAATGAAACTATTATACTTAGCAATTAAACAATGAAAACTTTATGTGAGTAGGAACTAATAATGATTTGGTAAGTTTTAAAGCATAAAAATATTATTTTTGTTTATAGTAGTGAAAATCTTTTTGTGATATTCAAAATGTTTAATTTAATCATCGAGTGAGTTATCTTTTGCTGTAAATGGAGATTCAGAATAAGTGTACCTATTTCTGAAAGGGACTTCATTGAGCTTTTTAGACAGGAAAAGAAAAATTATTTTCCGATTTTTTTTGTTGTATTTGATGTAGGTCCAGATCAATAATTAAGCTAGCTCATTTACAGAATTTCTGATCATCCGCTCACTCCCTTTTCCCCAAGTATAATTATTTTAATTGTGCAAGTAATGACCCAAATTAAAAAAAAAAATGTTTTAACAGTTTTCATTCAGATCAGACTAAGAACAGCACAAAACAAAAATTTTCATTTCAATTCTGATTATTTTTGCTCTTCAGCCTTTGTAAATTTTCAGTTTAAAGTGCCCTAGCTGAATTTTGTAAGAATTAAAAAAAATTGTTTTTACATTTTTGGACCTCAGCTGGGCCTCATTGAGATTTGATTTAAAACTGTGTTGTATTTTGATGTTACAGGAGACAGGTATAAAATTAAGTGATGATGAAATTGAGGAACTGCTAAATGAACTAGACAGAGATGGGGATGGAGAAATCAACTATAAGTAAGATTTTCATTTCAAGATAGTTATTTGAGCCGCATCAGGACAAATTTAATCAACATAGTGCGTTTGCGACCAGCATGGATCCAGACCAGCCTGCGCATCTGCGCAATCTGATCAGGATACATGCTGCTCGCTTACCAACCCTATTACAATTATAGAAAATGATAGCGAAAAGCATGCATCCTGATCAGACTGAGCGGATGCGCAGGCTGGTCTGAATCCATGCTGGTCGCAAACGCACTATGTTGGTTTTGTCGTGACGCGGCTCATTTAATGCATTTATTTAATTGCTTTATCTGTGTTATATGTTTAGAACATATCTCAATTGTTTGACAATTTTGATTTTCTTTTAAAATATATTCATATGTAATGTTATGTAAAGTTGAATTAGATTATTACATAGCGAAATGAAAACTATTTCTACACACTTAGAAAATATCCTATCGGATTACAGGTACATATGTACCATTTATCTAATTTGATCTACAATTTTTGTATGTAAAGATATGATTTTACTTTCAGTGAACTGGTAGTGAGTCATGTAGACTTCCAGGAGAAGAGGGAACAAATCAACACAGTGCTGACAGTCATGCAACCACGACCTATGACTACTTGACCTATGACTACATGACCTATGACTACATGTACTTGACCTATGACTACATGACCTATAACTACTTGACCTATGACTACACAACCTATGACTACATGACCTATGACTACATGACCTATGACTACTTGACCTATGACTACATGACCTATGACTACACGACCTATAACTACTTTATCTATGACTGCATGATCTATAACTACACAACCTATGACTACATGACTTATGACTATTTGACCTATAACTACTTGATCTATGACTACACAACCTATGACTACATGACCTATGACTATATAACTTATGACTACATGACCTATAACTACTTGATCTATGACTACACAACCTATGACTACATGACCTTAGTCTAATGACTACATGACCTATAACTACTTGATCTATGATTGCATGACCTATTACGACCTATGACTACATGACCTATGACTACGAGACCTATGACTACACAACCTATGACTACACAACCTATGACTACATGACCTATGACTACTTGACCTATGACTACATGACCTATGACTACACGACCTATAACTACTTTATCTATGACTGCATGATCTATAACTACACAACCTATGACTACATGACTTATGACTATTTGACCTATAACTACTTGATCTATGACTACATGAACTATGACTACATGACCTATAACTACTTGATCTATGACTTCATGACCTATGACTATTTGACTAATGACTGCTTGACCTATGACTACTTGACTTATGACTACATGACCTTCACTTTAAGGTCAAGAGGATGTTGGTTTTTTTATCGTTGCCATAATATTGATCAAAACAATCAAATTTTCCAAGAACATCAAATTAGCTTGTAGAAAAAACTTATCAGAGAATTTGAGGTTTTTGTAAAAGACAAAAGTTTATGGACTAGTTAGTTATGTATATTAAGTTACTTAGCTAAATTAAGTTATTTTTTGCATTGTTATATTAATTGTTGTAAGAGTCATTTGTTTTAAGTATATGTTATGCAGATTTTGTAGTTATTATTTTTCAGTTAATGTTGTTACGTAGCTTTTTTTATATGATTTTTTATAATTTCTACAATTATTGATATTTTGTACAAGGAATTAAGGGATTTTAGATTTCCTACTAATGATTTCTACAGTATAGCTGCCGTCCAGTATTTTATGAAGTTAATGGACTTATTATTATTGTTTCAAGTATTTGATAAATCATCAATTTCACCAGAAGCTTGATTTTAGAAAACTATGCATCTGTTTCATGGGGATTGGGGCTCATTTTCATGGTGGTGTTTCTAGTAGCAAAATAAGGATATAAATGAATTTAAAATATTTTGTGTGATGTATTGAATGAGGTGCCTTTCATGTATATGTAAGTAATGTATATGCATGTAGTGTAGAAAACCTGGTATGTTAGTTCTTTAGGTATTTACTATATCTGGTCTACTGAAATAAAAATGTTAGTTTCATGTTAATGAAATCAGGAGATATTTAAAGAATTTATCGAATTATCGTTTGAAAGTCTCTACAACTCTTACACTAGCAGTTAAATTTTACTTGTTGTGTGGACATAAACTAATACAGTACATGCATTTTTCTTACAGCATGGTTTAAATCTAATAACATCAACTTATCATCAGCATTTAGACAAAGTTATCCAGAATTTCTTTTGTTTAATTTTGATATTCTTGAAGTTCCAAAGATTGCAATATAATAATATCTTACAGACAATACAATCACCTTCGATAATTTATTTATTAACATTATAACATAGATAAATCGTTTTAAATGACAGTGAGTGTTATTACATATTCTAACACGACCCACACTTTTCCCTATTGAACATTAAAGAAGCAAAAGTGTGTGTTATTATGCAACAAAGTCACTGTTGACGTTCTATATTTAGATATATGATGTAATCATTATACATGTGACGTAACCACTAAAAAAATGCGACGTGCTAAAAACAAATACGGAAACAAATCAGGAACAATTTAGCTTAATATCAGTTATGGCAGCATTTATTTGTTGATGTCATGTTAGAATGGAAATAATGTATCCAAATCGGTGATTTTATCGCTTGATAACATCACTGTTTGTCGTTCGGATGCGCATCATTATATCACTCGGGCTACGCCCTCATGATATACTTCGTCACATCCGAACTCCAAACAGTTATTGACCAATAAAATCACTGTTTGGGATTATATTATTTCTTAAACATAACAGAGTGTTTCATCTTCAGCCACCTTTTTTGTTGCGTACATTGTTAGGTAATTTTTTGCTATAATTTGTATTCAAGATACATTTGTATTTCTATTGTGAACATATCTGATGATTGTAAATGTTCTTTCATTGTGCATTTTTTATATTTGTTAATTATTGTAATGATAATTTCAAATTGATGCAACCTTATTTCATATGTCATGCTTTTTATACCATTGAACTATGTGGGAATCATTTAATTTTTACATTTTTTTAGCAGAATATGTCTGATTAAAAGCTAACGAAATATCAATCATTTACTGGATCTACTTATTTACCAGATCACAAAATTAATTAATAAATAACAATAAAATAAATAAAGTGATGTACACCTTGTTAATGTGTTTTGCTGAGTAAGAAGACAGCAAAAATTATCAATATGGAAAGATAAAAGATAACATTTATGCGTTATGAAGTCTTATTTATGTGATGGTTTATATACATGTATATACAAACTGCAGTATATACTTCATTATTTGAGCTCACAAGAGTGTTGGTGAAGTATGCTAAACCATTAGTCTGTGAAAGGCAACATAATTTACAATGCGGCCAGTGCAGCCCAAGATCAGTGGCGTGTTCGTGGCGTTTGATCTTGCTCTTCACTGTTTGTCATTCAGTCATTACATATTTTAATATTTACCTGTACATGATGAATGGTTTTGTCCAGATTGAAAGGTGGACACTTCGTTAAATGATGTTATGTTAGTATTATAGTAATGGTGTTACATGTATAATTTACATGTATTTATTACAGTAGTCAAGATGCAGTGACATATATACTATTTTATATATATCTGACCTATGTTAAAATTAGTCAATTACTGTGTGTTGTACAAAGCAAAGAATGTGATAGAGTTTATTTTACTAAAGAAATATTTTGTTTTAAATTTGAGTATTATTATGCAAATGAGGAGTTAAATAAATCTTCAGGAAGATTATTCAGTGTAAGCTTTGTTTTTTCCCCTCTTGTCCTGTGGAGAGAACCTGTTTTAACTGTATACCGGCTGTGTGTTATGTTATGAATTCATCATTCGAAACAGACCTTTTGAATTTTAAGGATTTCAATTATCTACAGTATAATGCCTGTTTAAAGTGCATGTAATTTAGTGGAATGAAGTGACCAATTACTTTTTAACTCATCTGACCACGCTATGTCCTCTGTCGTTCGTTGTCAACAATTGGGTTGTTAACAGTCTACCATGCAGTCACAGTTTTGATTGGATCATCGTCAAAACTTTGTCAGAATGTTTGTCTCAATGAAATACAGATCGAGTTCGAAGATTGGTTATCTCGGGTCAAAAACTAGGTCACACGAGCTAAAAATAGAAATAGCTTGTTAACACTCTAGTGGCTGCAGTTTTGATCCAAATATTCTGGAACCTGATTCTTGGCGAGGAAAACTTTCATATTACCTTGATTGGCACCAAATATATTGAAAGTATACTAGACAACCAGAAACAGTTCAAGACCATACCCCTGCAAAAGTGTCTTCAGGTTTCATTACTTTTTAGTCCCCTACCGGTTTACCGGAGGGGACTTTAGGTTTACCCTCCGTCCGCCCGTCCGTCTGTCTGTCAGTCCGTCCGTCCACAAAACTGGATCCCGCCATAACTTGAAAAGTACTGAAAATATTTTTATGAAACTTGATATATGGATAGATGGCAGTATAGAGATTATGCACGTCTTTTTCTTTTCTTCCTATGTTGAAAATTCTGGTTGCTATGGCAACAAATAGGCTGAAAATATGGCAAATTTTACACATAAACTGGATCCAGTGAAAACGCAAAAAGTACTGGAAATATTTTTATGAAACTTGAAATATGGGTAGATGGTAGTCTGGAGATTATGCACATCTTTTTCTTTTCTTCCTTTGTTGAAAATTCTGGTTGCTATGGCAACAAATAGACTGAAAATATGGCAATTTTTACACATAAACTGGATCCAGTGTTAACGCAAAAGTAATAGAAGTATTTTTATGAATCTTGTAATATGGGTAGATGGCAGTCTGGAGATTATGCACATTCTTTTTCTTTTCTTCCTATGTTGAAAATTCTGGTTGCTATGGCAAACACATATACTGAAAATATGGCAAATTTTACACATAAACTGATCCAGTGATAACTCAAAAAGTACTGGAAATATTTTTATGAAACTTGACATATGGGTAGATGGCAGTCTTGAGATTATGCATGTCTTATCTGTTCTTCTTATTTTGAAAAAATATTGGTTGCCTTGGCAACAAATAGGCTTTAAACATGGCAAAAATAACAATATTTTTGATTAGTCAAAAAGAGCTGAAAATTTTTATGAAATTGCATCTTTAATTCCAGAGTTATCTCCTCTTTAAGAATTTTGCTTTTTAAATTGTTATATTTTGGTAACAGGGATGTTTCAAATATTTAATTTAGAGTGTCCTTCAGTCCGTCTGTCTTTTCAACAAAACTGCTTCCTGTGATCACTTTTAAAGAACTTTTCCAATAATTTTACTTAAAATAGAGCAAAATAAAAACATTAGTGAATAGCCAATGGCCCTTCAGAATGTTGATGGGGTTCCATCCGGCAGGGGACTTATGGATTGCGTGCAATACTATGATAATTGCTTGTTTTCAAGTGTCTTTCATCCATTTTAATTGTTTGATAGCAGTAAATAAAAACATACCCGTAAACTAAAGGTTAGAGGATTTAAACTGAATATCATGCAATTATTTGCTTGTGGGAAAATCGCTCTTTTTATTTCTTATGTAAACTTAAGTAAGTACAGTAGAATCCCTACTTAAAACCACCCAGGAATTTAGACCA